TAATTGTCGGCAAAAAAAATAATTGAGAATATGAAATATAAACAAAATGCGATCGGTGGTTTTCTTACCTTGAAACTAGGCGTCTTCTTACAGGAATTTTCACACCCTCGCACTTATATCGCAGGCTAATACCGGCCGGTTTCGTAATGGAAAACACCAGAGGTTTTTGATAGCGGAATAATAGCGAACACAAGAGAGCGTATGGGTTCAAAGAGAGTCACCATTCAAGTCCATTATTTCGAGTCGTCGCCAATAGAGGCGTTGAAAACCACCAATTTTACGCGGTAACAACAATGAGCAAAAATATACAAATTAAAGATTCTTCGAATAATAATAACAGCTAGAAATAGAATATAATATATATAAAAAAAACTAAATAAAATAAACAAAAACGAAACAACAGTATATATGTACTAAATAGAAACTGAAAGAAATATGAACAATCTTGGTATAATTACCAGCACCTCTTTCCATAAAAATATTTGTCACAATCGGTATAAGCTCGCCCGCAAAAATTCGCCTTACCAATTGCAATAATCGAGTCACTGATGCGCATGGTTGCGAATATATACGGTTTGAGCAGCCTGATCCAATTTAACTATTCATGCGAATTAATCCGTCTGGAGCAGTTTGAGCCCTATAAATTTTTAGCGAATATATACGTCTGGAGCAGTGAAAGGGTTAAAAAACTTGACAACCTAAACACTTTTTTTGTATTATTCTAAAAAAAAAGTCACGCAATCAGCAGTATGCAGCAACATTTAGGGGCGCAGCCGCAGTGTAATAATCACTCGAGTGGTGGGAGTGAACATCTCGAGTGATCTCATTAATCGAGTACCACTCGATTTTTCACTCCAGATCTCCCATCACTAATTTTAATACTCTGCCGGGCTTATTTTAACCGTTGAAATGTCTACTTTAAAATGTTGAATGTATGTTTATGGTTTATTTTTCATTAAAATGCTTAAAATTGAGAAAAACCAAAAAAACCACTTTTTGGATCACAAATTTTTCAATATTCTATATATTTTCAATTTTTTCGTTATTTATGTAAATAATAGATTACATTTCAATAAAATAATTTACTACAAAGTAATGTTATTAATGTTTAATAAATTTAATTGAAAAATTTGGTAAGGCACCGTACCGTTACTAAAAATAGTATAACGATAAGTATTCTGTTTTAGTACATATTTGAATAAAAACAATTTCAACGGTCAAAATGATGCCCAGGCAGAGTATTCAAATCGAAAAAAAAATCAAGACAATTTTTCCTGGGAAATTGTGTATTTTTTTTGGAAAACTGTTAATATCTCAAAAACTACTCGTTTTCCAGTTTCCAAAAAAAAAAATCATGCTTATTTCGTAATAAAAAAAAAGGTACACTCACAAAAAAAAAACAAAAAAATTGGTTTTCCGCGATTTTCTCTTAAAATTTGAGGTTATGTTGAAAAATATCCTGTATAAAAGTTTTCAATTTTTTTATTATTTACAACTTTTGTGTGGAACACTACGCTAGGAAGTCATATTTCCAAACATCGCAAAAATTTCTTTTCAACCCTTAAACCCCACCGCCATTTCACAATTTCCCTTTATCTCATGTTTAATTTTTGTTTTTTCTATTACTTACAACCGAAACTAAATTTTCCCACTGGTTCTTGGCTGTTACATTTTTTTTTTTTCTTTTCAAGAAGGTTTTGGCCTGCTCCTGCACTTGCCGTTCCTATTTTCAATAAACTATTTTCTAAGCTTTTTCTGTGAGATCGACACCTTACAAAACCTAATTTCTACAATTTTTCTTTAAATTTCCTCACATTTTGCAACACTTTTATGTCGAATTTGAAACTCTCCGTTGTATCAAGGGCACCACTATATCTAGGCAGAGATACTGAAATTTATTCGGTGGATATTAAATAACAATTGTAATGCAAAAATAGTTAAAATCTAAAATTTTACAACTCTGACTACGACAGGTCTACTGGAAAATTTAACTACTACTTGGACTTTTTTTTTCAAACACAAGAGTAGCAAAAATCTAGTAGTAGTAACAATATTATCGTTTAGTCGGCAGTGATTTCCTCGAAAAAGATTAGTTATATCAAAAACATATAAAGAGCTAAAATTCAAGATCATTGCATTATTGCAATATTAGATGGTGAAAATACATTTTAAAATTTTTAATTTAAGTATACCATTTTTGCTTAAAATTGATGGGGGAATAAACGTGCTAATATGAAACGTCAATGTGCAGGATAGTAAAAAAGTTAGGTCCAATTTAATTCAAGCGTACCCTTATAGGTGGCGCCCTCTACAAGCAGCGTCATTACCAATGACATATTTAAATTTAGCATCCTAAAAAAACCCCGGACCAAGTTTTATGCCAAAATTCAAATCTGTTTGAAAATTATTCCTAAAAAATCGAAAAAATAAAAAACTAACATCCTGTACATCGAAAACTACTCACGTTTACAGGGAAAAAAAAGTCTTATTTTGACCTCAAAAATACGTCCCTAAATTCTTTGTACTAAATTTCGAATCACCCTGTATATACCCTTGTGTAGATGGCGCTTTGAAAACGTAGTACAGCGTTTCCAGTGTGTGTTTTCTGGAGTTGATCGGAGTATGGTTTGAGTAACAATACGGTGAGGCTGTAAAAGTAAATGGAATGGAGGAGAAAATGGATGGTATTTGGAATTAAAATCAACATGTAATGAAATTAGTTAAAATCTCATTACAATTTATATGTTGAATGAATTACATATCCTTGATATTTATAACAGAGGTATACCAAATGTGTTTATGCCATATTTATCAACTTACGTTGATTTNTTTGACACGCCCATTTCTTGGGTCCAGAAGTTTCGGTTCTTATCTTATTGGCGGGGACCTGAATATCGGACGCCGGTATACTTAATAATTACCTAATTGACTTGACTGCATCTATATCAATAATTCTGAAGCTAAACTTACTTATAATTAACCCTAGCCTTCCTTTAATGACTCCGCGAATTACGGGACGGATTAGTCGATCTCATTTAATCTACTCTTATAGCTAGGAAAAATCCATCAAAAAAACCCAGCTGCTTAGGTATACTCTCTTTTCGAATTACTATTGGTTTTACAATATATTTTAATTCTAAATTGAAACCTCTACGCTCTTCCGCGGTTTCGCGCGTTATGAAATCGATTTTTCTCTCATACTAGATGGTATACACATGGCCCCGACAGTTAAGTGAAAAATATTGTTAAATTTCGGGTGGCCTTCCCCGAAAGGACAGTCTTGGTGACCTACTACTTGAAAACCATTAACCCTCCGATAATTTGTGTCGACTGAAATATTTATTACTTTTTGCCCATCCTTCCGAGAACTAATAAATAACTGACTGCACGTCCCGGCTTTTGTTACATTTGTACTAAATTTTGAATCACCCTGTATATACCCTTGTGTAGGTGGCGCTTTGAAAATATAGTACGGCGTTTTTAGTGTGTGTTTTCTGGAGTTGATCGGAGCATAGTTTGAGTAAGAATATGTTGAGACTGTAAAAGTAAAAGGAATCGAGGAGAAAATGGATGGTATTTGGAATTAAAATCAACATGTAATGAAATTAGTTAAAATCTCATTACAATTTATATGTTGAATGAATTACATATCCTTGATATTTATAACACAGGTATACCAAATGTGTTTATGCCATATTTATCAACTTACGTTGATTTGGAATATTTCTTGCAAAGTAAATACGCGTTTAACTTTATCTAAAGTTTCGATATTCATGTAAACCGCCATATTTCACTTGAATATGCAATAGTTCAGTAAAATTATTAAACTTAAAGGCAGTCGAGAGAAAAACACCGTCTGTGAAAATAACGAATCGACGCAAACGTCAACCCAACATTAAAACAAGAAAATTATGCGTTAGCCAATACAAAAGGTTGAGTTTAATATGAAAAATACATAATTTTCTGTACAATTTGAATGTGGTAAAATCAAAATTTTAAATTTCAGTGGTTAAAAAAGTCATCGTTGGAGTATCTGCCTCGAAAGTAATTTATTTGTTACATTCGCTTAATTGCAGTAGATTTGCTTTTTAAATATTGCAGTTTTAATATTTATGATAGTATTTAATAATTTTTAATTGTTTAGAATTTCCATTATTAAGATTTAGTGTCATGATTACTGTATAATTTAATTTCGATTCGCTAATAAAACCAATTTCTACATTTTAAACTAGGATGAAATTAAAATGTTTACGTCCTAAGCCATATAAAATATCCCACACACAGATGATTCTGCAAGCTCTCAATCTTTGATGTGCTGACGTAAATAATTACCTTTCACGTGGGCAGCGGTTCTCAAAATCTCCACATATTTGTACTTTTGTAAGTGTTGTGGTCTCCGTTAAAGAAATACGTACATTCATCAGTGAAAAGTACAACATATTTTGTTTTTATATCGGAAATTTTGTATGCATGTTAAAACATGATCTGTTTTATTAGTTTTTCTATTTCCTGTTTTGTCTACAAGTGAACGTAATTTTTCCATTTAATTCCGACCAATACATGTGACGATACGATCAACGGTTTTGGGGTAATTCCCGCATACATGTTTCAGCCAAAATTATTCATTATCATCATTAACCACACACATCGGAACACTACTTGCACCGTACGTCAGAATCAGATTGTATAAAAATAAAAATACCCAACACAGCAGCTGCAATAGTTGATTTCTTGCACTTGACTTTCAATATTTACTTCACTTTCCACATAAATTTGGAAAACGTTTAATAAATATTATTTATTCAATAGACGCAGATTGTTTGATGAGACATTTTAACAGTTTTTTATTTTCTGGAGTGTCGAGCTGTGGTCGTAATTGAAATCGATTTCTCTTCTTTCTTTCAACAGATCGCCAGCGTTATTGACACTCACGCGGCCAGCATGCATAAGAGGACGGAGCGAGACGCTTTCTTTTTGGCGACCGAAGGCATCGTCCAGCTAGTGCAGAGGTAAACGTTTAATCGCGTAATTAAATCCGTTTCTGAAGGATACTTCCGTAGGTATCGTAACGGCATCCGGGGCAGGATGAAACACGCCGTCCAGGAAATGTTGAGGCAGTACTATGAAGTCGAGAGCCAGTTTCTGCACGGTAAGTGGCCGTTATCATCGTTTTAATAAATACGACAAATTATTATTTTCCGTTCAGGTTCTTACGACAAATGCGTGTCCTTGTTGCGGGAGAAGCACAAAGACGACATGGCCGCCGTCACGGCCACCATCTTCTCCCACAGTCAGGTGTCCAAAAAGAACCTGCTCGTGACGATGCTCATCGACCACCTCTGGGGCAACGAACCCGGCCTAACCGACGAACTAACCAACTGCCTGACGGAACTCACGTCTCTCAACCGCAGCGAGCACTCCCGCGTCGCCCTCAGGGCCAGGCAGGTGCTGATCGCCGCCCACCAACCCGCCTACGAACTGAGGCACAACCAGATGGAGAGCATCTTCCTCTCCGCCGTGGACATGTACGGGCACGAGTTCCACCCGGAGAACCTGCAGAAGCTCATAGTTTCCGAGACGTCCATCTTCGATATCCTGCACGACTTCTTCTATCACACCAACAGGGCGGTGTGCAATGCCGCCTTGGAGGTGTACGTGAGACGGGCGTACACCAGTTACGACATTTCGTGTCTGCAGCACTTGGAGTTGAGCGGGGAGGTGCCTCTCGTCCATTTCATCTTCATGTTGCCGCCGTCCCACCCCAATAGGTTGGTGAAGCTGAACAGCGGTCTGGAGGATATCGGTAAGCGCTAGAAAAAAATTCTTATTATCTCCCCCTTTATTATTTTTTCTTATTTATTTATTTAACTTTAAATAAATTTTAATTTTTAAATAACAGTGATGTCCCCCCCGTTTGTTTTTGCTAGGGTAGTAATTTTTGTTTTTGGCTAGTTGATTTCTCGGTGGGGGCGTGGATCCTACTAATAAAAAAAAATCGGGCGCCAATTGGTTTCAGAAATATTTAATGCCCTTCGCCAAAGTAACGGAGTAGACAAAAAAAATAAATTCGTGAAATAACCACAATGATGAAACCACTAAATAGTCATCATAGCTTTATTGGCGGCAATAAAAAAAAAACAATGTATAGTTATACCAGTTATCTTAAAACTAACAACAATGACAACANTTGTTTCCGTTGTACCAGAAAATCCGCGTACCCCCACCTCGTATTCTAACTCGTCTCTGGTTAATCGACTCAAGTCCATATTTTATTCGTACAAAGAAAATCAAATATAAAGATCAGTTAAACTAATCGATAAATCGACTAGACAAAAAAAGGGAATTGCTGCGCTATCTATTACCAGCAGAAAACAATTCTGTACTCAGCCAGGAAAACTATTAACATTATTTACATTACTTAAACCGATAACTACTTTAATTATTATCTTTAATAAGTTTTGAATAAAACTTCAACAAATTAAAAAACCTAAATAAATAACTAACGTCTACAAAATGCATATATCTCGATCAATATTAACCCACTTAACAGACCAACATAATATATATCACATATATACCTATTACAAATAAATGTATATAATAAAACACTACAAAATGTACCAATTTGCAGAATTACTGGTATCTAAATTTTACAAAAACAGCAACGGTACGATAAAACAGACTTGCAGGCCCCACGTTATGGGCGTCAATTTCTTGTTACCCCTTTTTATCTCCCCCTTTATTATTATTTTTTTTATTTATTTATTTATTTAACTTTAAATAAATTTTAATTTTTAAATAACAGTGATGTTACCTGTTTGTTTTTGCTAGGGTAGTAATTTTTGTTTTTGGCTAGTTGATTTCTCAGTGGGGGCGTGGATCCTACTAATAAAAAAAATAATCGGGCGCCAAGTGGTTTCAGAAATATTTACTGCCCTTCGCCAAAGTAATAGAGTAGACAAAAAAAATAAATTCGTGAAATAACCACAATGATGAAACCACTAAATAGTCATCATAGCTTTATTGGCGGCAATAAAAAAAAAACAATGTATAGTTATACCAGTTATCTTAAAACTAATAACAATGACAACATTACGGCCTTATTCGACCAGGACGACACAGAATGTAATAACGTGCGAGTAATATTGATCGAAGAAACGATGAAGTGTGGCATAAATTGCCTCAAACAAAAAAAAGGGTGTTGTGTAGTAACTGCAGCAGGAATAATCATTCGAGAGAGTCAAATCTGCTTTCCACCAGATGTCGGCTATCCGCATAATCATGGGACGACTCGCGTCAAACGGTAGGCAAACTCTTCTTACAATAAAAAAAGAACCCAACAGCAAAAACACGTCGTGCGTGGACAACCTTTGCCTCCTCCGGACAAAACGCCTAAAAATTGTAACGAAACGTGGCATAATACCGAATATCGAGCGCTAGTGATACTTTTTTTGCCTTTTCTTTTTTGTTTTTTGAATCTAGTAGGTTTACTCTATTATAATGATAATGTGAAACACGCTTACCTCCAATGCCGAAATCCCTAACACTTGGAGACGTGATAAAATGACCCAAATAAAATACAGAAACAGACGGCGCCAACAACCAAAATTTCTATACCCACAGGCTTCGTCTTCGTCGCTAGGCGAGGAGTTTTAATCCGTTATTTAAACGTTTTACAGCCTTTACAATAAATTCGTAATTTCGGTCTCCACACTAGCTGGCCATATACTACTACTGATTTTTAACAAAAAAAAAAAAACTGTTTTTTCTAAAACGCTCTGTTCTCCGCGAGGAGGCCCGTTTTTCCGTCAGAGATATGTTATCTATTTCTTTGCCTTTTGTTTGCTCGAATTTGAATTTAATAATTTGGCTTTTCCCCTACAGGTGTCTCTAAGTGTCTGATTAAAATTAGTTATACTACCGATTTAAGAGCTAACAAACTGACTTACAAATATTTAACCGTAAGATTATATCTAAAAAAAAATAAATCGTAACACTTACACCAGGAAAATTAGCGAAAATAAAAGATAAACTCGAAAAAATTCCTATCCGTAATATTATTGTAAAGTTGTCGATATATCTCGAAAAGTAACAAAGCAATCGATACTTTCAAAAAATCAGTCGATAGATCTTTTTAAAACCTACAACTTTCTCATTTAAAATTTTTCAATCCGTGCTATATTTTTTTAGTTATTTTAGAAAAACCGTTTTTTTTAACTTTGCGATTTTTTTAACCATGTTCGCCATATTGGATCGAGTTTAAAGAACAAGAAACTCAATTTAAAATTTAATTTTCTATACGGTCATATTTTTTTT